CTAAAAAAGAAAAAATAATTATGTAAATTAAAGTAGAATTATGTGTAATCTGTTTGAATACCGTGAGAAAAAATTCATTGGAAAGGTTACTATTGATTATTTATTTGGAACATGTGGAAGGAGGGGACACTTTTGGAGAATAAAATTCAGAACTGACTTCAACAGTTGATTTTTTTTAAATTCACTATAAAAGGAAATCAAATAGAAAAAAAATCCCCAAAATATGCTAATTAATCTTTCCTTTTAGTACTGTACATTTAGGGTGAAAAATGGAAAAATGTAATTTACATGCAATACCTGAATGGAAATATTTTTTAAATGAAGTTTTGATATTGCATTTGATGATTTCAGGTAAATAATTTAAGATATGTGAAAGTAACAGCAGCTTTGTTCTTTCTTCTTATGCCATCTTTAAAAAAATGTTTTGCCTCTCCCAATTGACCGGCTAAAAATGGCCCAACTGAAAACTTTGTTTAACTCCAGGAACCAATCATTCTGAAATTTTCTCATTCCGTTGAAAACTTATTTTAAAGTTTATAAGTACCTTCTATTTCAGTAGATTTTGAACATTCAGCATTAATGTTAAAAATTTCTAGAAGAAATTTCTTTAACACCTACCTACCAACCCATTATTTTTTATCCTGGGTCAGCAGAGGGCAAACAAATATTCAAAGATGGCCTTAAGAATAGAGAGATGTTTTTTCTAAAACACAACTACAATACATACTGCTTTTTTCAATGAACAGTTTGGCGAGGTGCTGGAGTTTGAGCTCTGGGTGTAGTAAAGCCTCCAGTAGATTGTTCTCCCAGTTCGGTCTTCTCTTAAGTCTGTCTAACAACTCCCCCACAGCCGCTGACCTCCCCTTGTTTGACAGCTTTGTACGAACCCTGTCCTAATTACATATCATCAAGTTTGAATTCAATCATATAATAAATTTTCTATAAATATTGTACGTCCATATGAACCAAATCAAAAATGAATGTTTTTAAATAGAGCCACACCAATTTAATTTCTTGTTCATTGGACATTTGATGAAAAAAATACGAGCGCGCTAGCAGTTAAATAATATTATTACTTTTTTGTAAGCAGATTTTTAGGCGGTGTGTGAAAAAATTGAGCGGACAATTGTATTTTTTCTAATTTGCAGAGTAAGTAGATTAAAAGTACGATAAATAGAGTGGAAATGTAACAGAAAACAGCACAGAATTCCCATGGTGCAGGGATTTTAAATTAATATTATTTATATAGATTTGTTTAAATACGAGCGTGCGGGTCCGACGTACAAATTTTTTTTATTGGTGTGGCCTAGGAAATTCATTCCTATAATCAAATGAACCAGGTCTAAAACTGAACATATCAGGTTTAGATTAAAATTGAGCACTTTATTTATAATCTTACTATGTCATCCTCCGTCAGACAGCCTGCTAGGTAATCCATGAGAGATAGTGGTTCCACATCTTTACGGAAATCCTTCAGGATTTCTTTATAAAGTCGAAACTGCCTGTTCTGTAGATCTGACATGACTACATGAAGATCTGATGGTGGAGAGTAACCCGAGAGCTCAGATTAAATCCAAGATTTTCTCTAATACCCGACTGACGTGAAAGATTAGTGTAAATTATTAAGAAAAACGATAATTGTTTCTTTGTTAATTTTTTTTCTAGCGAAATGGAAGTAACTGAATTATCTGGTTTTACTAGCGAAATGAAAGATACTAAAATACTCTGGTTATACGAGTGTTATTACAAGAAAACTAAAAAGGTAGCCTATATTTTGGTTTATTTACATGATGAAAGGACAAAATGAAAGTAACAGCATCGAGTTGCACGACTTCTGACGTTTGTTTTCAGCCCTTAAGCTTCATCAAATGTTAAATTTAGGTTATCTATATATCCCGTGAAAGTAAATATTAAGAAATTACCTTAATTATTATAGCTTCAACACTGAAAAGGCATTAAACCGAAAACGCTTGGGACTACAGGGGAAATTCCAGATCTAAATATAACTTGTACAGGCTTGCTTAATTGCTTGCATTTCGAACCCGATCCTTAATAAAACAATTATATTATGTAATGGTATATTTAGATGTTGAGTTCAGTTAACCTATATTTGAAGTTTAACCAAAGGCAGACAGATTAATCACAGCGAATGATCCCGATTTTGAGTGAGAATTCGTTTCCCTTTTAATGTTTTTTTTTTTTTTGGGGGGGGGGGGGGGGGGGGGGGAAAAAGGCGGAAAGAACAGAGCCTTGTGCGTTGTGACTGTAAAAAAAATGCACTGCGTTCTTTCTAGTATGTCTGGATCCGCCACAGTTTAATTTTTTCGGTTGATAACAAGATATCGTCACTTCAAATTGACAATATTGTACACTTGAGAATTTTGACATTTTAAAAGTACCCGTTATTTCCACATTAAATATAACCTTTTTATGCATGGAAAATATCTTCTATTTTTCAAAGTTTTTATATTACACATACTATCATAGTTACATTTTCCTCCGGCAAAAGTGCAAACATATCTGAAGTTACAAGCATTAATACAGTCTGAATTTTTTATAATAATTACTTTATTTCAAGAGGTTTGCCTAAAAAAAACTCACTATGAGGGATTTCATATACATGTACATGTCTAATATGCCATGTTCAATGCACTTCAATTTAGAAGCGATCATGGTTAACTTTTCAAAAAAATACATTTATGCGTTCTCAGTATAAATAAATCGGGCACACTTAATCTAGTTTTTAAACAGTCAATAATAGCTCAGTACCCGCTGAGTCATTGTAAGAATTAATCGCAACGTTTCGCCTTTCGGGTCTTTTTGACTAGCAGAAAACCAACCTCTGACGGAAAGATCCGAGAATATGCGATTATGTAAGGACCCCAATTCTTTTTAGATAAAGTTTAAGGTAGATTGATGTCATAACCAAAAACGTCCTGCATATGACACATACATCTTAGGCCTTTCTATTCCATGCTAAGCAGAAACTGACAGTATATATAATTCTCAAGTCCTTTTTCTAAATAATGTCACTTCTATAATTTATTTGGGTAATCTCTGAGGGGTTCAGACATTTTTCTTTTAGATCCCCATTTGCTGGAAAGGCGTTTTCATCTTTGCTAGCCAGGAATTTCTGATCCACTGTTACATGGTATATCCTAAGGCTTACAATCCCTGGTTTAATTTGTGAGAGGAGTAGTACATCAGAAACTCTTAGACACAGTGTAATTATATAAGGAAGAAGTGCCATTTGAAGCAATCTCAATTTTAATAAAGTACTTTCTGAAAATTACGTCATCACTCCCTGATCTCTGAAGCCATTTAAATGAATATTTAATATATTATGCAATTCCATTTCTGATTTAACTGATATTTATTTGTTTTTGACATTTTACAATTTTTTATATAAAATTTCTAGCTTTTCCAAAAAAATATATGATATATACTAGTATCTGTCTGAATTATAAAAAAAATGAATTCTACGACCATCTTATAACTATGATTAATGTAGTAATTCACAACTCTACACTGCTAAAACTAGAACTGTCCAATAGGGACAAATACCCCCGCTGGGTTTTTCAGAGTAGGTGCCAATTCAGAAATATTTTATGGATCTAGTAAGAGGTATTCACTATTGTCTAATAAAGTGCCTTGCCACAGCATGATAAGCCCATCAAATATTGTTGATAATCATAAATTGGTTAGGGTGCAAGAAAATTAAGTAACCTTAATTAACAGATTGACACAGATTTCAATGATCTAATTTCCGTTTCTTATCATGTTTAAAATATTGTACATACATCTCTAAGAGACTTACAGTGTAGGGATTAATTAAAACAAATAATACATCATATAATTCTAAACTGGCTGTGTTAGAGCTTAACAAATATCCATCTGCAGCTTTAAATTGTTTATTGCAATATTATGAAATAATGGAAATGCTACAGTCTAATAAAAAAAAATCAAAAATGAATTATTCTTTAGACTATAAAATTCAAGTGAGACATGACTGCAATTTGTTGCAAATATATGAAAATTGAAATGTAATTTTTTTTTCAATGAACACATGTATAATTAATTTTAATTATATTATACAATACTAATTCAGTTTTAATCATACACTAAAACATCAATTTGTTTTAATTACATTACACCAATTGAAAGATCTTTATCTGAACTACAGCCATCAAGAACTCTTAATTAACACAAGCAACTATAAGGCCATTTCTTTTTACCCAACTCCCAAGAGGTAAATTAAGATTAGAGATGCTCTTGCCAGTTAACTCCCGACAATGAACTCATTAATTTCTCTCTAATTTGACATGCAGATTTCGCTATCAAAAATTCTCCTTGACCTGAGCTTGATAATTATGCCCATGGGACAAACTGAATTCCTCTCAAATCATTAACATTTGTTATAGAATTTGCTGTAAAGTATATGATAAAAAATAAGTTTTTACTTAATTTAGCATTTTTTAATAAGGATACAACTATATTTTTTACGTTTTTAAGGATTATGAAATTTAAAATTTTAAAGACTTAGTTTTTAAAAAAAAAATCACTTAAATTAAAGGTCACAGTGACCTTGAAATAGGTCGTGACACACCGTCTACCCAAGATGCATAAATTGTCCAAGTTTGATGATTGTAAGTCTAATAGTTTTCTAGTTATGACCCAAACAAAATCACAAAATAAAAAAGAAAAAATGCCTGTAAAATGCAGAAAAATCATCCAATCATGATGAAAATCCCAGGTGCACATCTTCATATGGTGAATAATAAGTGTATAAATTTTCAGACAAATCCATCCAACACTTTCTGAGAAACGGTCCGGACAAAATCTTGTCTACAGACAGACGGACAGACGGACATGGTGATTCCAATATACCCCCCTAAACTTCGTTTGCGGGGGTATAAAAATCAAATGTAACATCTTAACATTATTTAATGATGTGCACCAAGTTACAACTGATCAACCCCATTCAAAGCTTTAGGGCATAAATTAATTCTTCTGTCACATCATAAACAGCTCTCCTCTGTAAGATCATAAGCAGCTCTCTTGTGTCATCGAGTTAACATCATAAACAGCTCTCCTCAATCAGAGAGTTAATCTCTTTATCCAACTCATCAAACTCATTCTCCAAGGCCTGGAGCTCATGAAGCATGTCCTGGCTCTGGTCGCTCTCACTCGAGGTAAAGTGGACGTTAGGTACACACTGGGAAGCTGGCACTATACAGAACAAAATTGCGTAGAAAAATTAAATTTGTTTTGAGAACATAATATTGTAGACTGTTAAAATTTACAGAGGGCTTTAAATCAGTAAATTCTTAGAAAAGAATATATTTAATAAAACATAAAATATCTCTGGTGATACAGTAAAAACTGCCTAATCTAACACCTGAGCAATCTGCAACCCTTTGAGTTCTGAAATTTACGGTCATACTCACTTTATATATTTTCATGTTTATTTACACTGACCCCCGTGTAATCTACCACCTTTGCATTTGATTCACTATGAATTCTGACCATTACTCTCACTCCAATTCCACTATTTTCCATGTTCTTTACATACATGTTATCGTGTAACCTGACACCCCGTCTTATCCAACACTTGAGCAATTTGTATCCCTTTAAAATCTGACATTTATTGTCATATTCACTTGACAGTTTGAGTCACTGTGGATTCTGACCTTTATTTTCATTCCCATTTCACTATATTCCAAGTTCTTTACATTGTGTTATCTTACATCCTGTATATTCCAACACAAAGTTTGTCTCCCAATGCACATCAGATTAGACAGGTTTGGGATTAGACATGTTTCACTGTACCTAGTAGCTATATTGATATATCAGACAAAAACTGCAGGAGAAGCAGCCAACAAAATGTTATCTGACAACCTGTCCATTCTGAAAAAAACTGTCTCCCAGTGCATGTCAGATAATACAGGTTTCAGAATAGACAGGTTTCAGGTTAGACAGGTTTTACTGTACCTGGAAGACTGGCATTCCCAAACTCAGAGCCTCCACAGGCCTCAAACACTCTGTCAGAAACACTGGTACAGGTGGAGTCCTCATGAAATTTGATTTTTATACCTAGGTGTGACTGAGCTCCTTCTATCTCTGAAACAATACATCATTTGAGTTAACACTTTTAAACATTAAAACTATCTTTAAATTTTATGGGGACTCAATTTTCATGGATTTGAGTTTACCTTTCATCTATTAATTAACATATCATCTGCGAATTAAAAATCTATCCATTGATTATAATCAAATAATGTTTCCTTCTGTAGACATAAAAAAAATAAAAGTACATCCCCACAAACCTATACATATAAGTATTCAACAAAAATTAATTGGCCCTCACAAATTTTATTGATTCTAGTCACCAAAATACCGGTATGTCCAAGAAAAGATTAGACATGATGCATAATATTGAATTTAGAAGTTATTAGTAATGAATCATTTACTGCAACATGTACAAATAATCCTACAAGTAGATAATAGTGATGATTTTAAATTTCAATCTCTGAAATTTTTCAAAGAACATTCAGTGACAAAAGTAGCAGTGACCAAAGAAACAAAAACAATTTAAGGCAGATAAATACATGTATGTTTGTGTAGACATGTTGCACATTTGACCTTCAAATCCATCTGCTCATTGCTTACATTTTTACAGAGAGATAAAATGGTCTTTATTCAGATTAGTTTTGAATGCCATTCTTCTGAAAATTCAGAACCATTTCCATTTCATTGACTTACCATCCTGAAGCTGAAAAATCTTGTTGGAATTACTGTGTAGCTCCTGTAGCATGTGATCAAGATCATAAGATTTCTCAGGAGGTAACACTGCAATGACGGAACAATATATTGTCTAGATAGTATTCATATTCAACAGTTTGTTCCAAGATTAATCCATGACAGTTTTATACCAGTCTATATATGCATATGAAATCAGATCATAAGAATTTTCAAAAGGTATGGAAAACACTTCAAAAGCAAATTCTATTTTTTATATTATATTTTAAAGTATATGTTCAACAGAACTTTCTTGGTTTTTTGATAGTATCACTTACTCCTGATCATTGCAAGCCTTTCTTCTGATCTATTCAATGTGACTTACTTTGCTTGGATCCTTATCATACTGATTTAACTTGTCTGATCTATTCAGTGTGACTTACTTTGCTTGGATCCTTATCATACTGATTTAACTTGTCTGATCTATTCAGTATGACTTACTTTGCTTGGATTCCTTATCATACTGATTTAACTTGTCTGATCTATTCAGTGTGACTTACTTTGCTTGGATTCTTTATCATACTGATTTAACTTGTCTGATCTATTCAGTGTGACTTACTTTGCTTGGATTCCTTATCATACTGATTTAGCTTGTCTGATCTATTCAGTGTGACTTACTTTGCTTGGATTCCTTGTCATATAGATTTAACTTGTCTGATCTATTCAGTGTGATTTACTTTGCTTGGATTCTTTATCATACTGATTTAGCTTGTCTGATCTATTCAGTGTGACTTACTTTGCTTGGATTCCTTATCATACTGATTTAACTTGTCTGATCTATTCAGTGTGACTTACTTTGTTTGGATTGTTTATCATACTGATTTAACTTGTCTGATCTATTCAGTGTGACAATACTTTGCTTGGATTCTTTATCATACTGATTTAACTTGTCTGATCTACTCAGTGTGACAATACTTTGCTTGGATTCTTTATCATACTGATTTAGCTTGTCTGATCTATTCAGCGTGACTTACTTTGCTTGGATTCCTTATCATACTGATTTAACTTGTCTGATCTATTCAGTGTGACTTACTTTGCTTGGATTCCTTATCATACTGATTTAGTTTGTCTGATCAATTCAGTGTGACTTACTTTGTTTGATTCCTTATCATACTGATTTAACTTGTTTGATCTATTCAATGTGACTTACTTTGTTTGATTCCTTATCATACTGATTTAACTTGTTTGATCTATTCAATGTGACTTACTTTGTTTGATTCCTTATCATACTGATTTAACTTGTTTGATCTATTCAATGTGACTTACTTTGTTTGATTCCTTATCATACTGATTTAACTTGTTTGATCTATTCAGTGTGACTTACTTTGCTTGGATTCTTTATCATACTGATTTAACTTGTCTGATCTATTCAGTGTGACTTACTTTGTTTGATTCCTTATCATACTGATTTAACTTGTTTGATCTATTCAATGTGACTTACTTTGTTTGATTCCTTATCATACTGATTTAACTTGTTTGATCTATTCAATGTGACTTACTTTGTTTGATTCCTTATCATACTGATTTAACTTGTTTGATCTATTCAATGTGACTTACTTTGTTTGATTCCTTATCATACTGATTTAACTTGTTTGATCTATTCAGTGTGACTTACTTTGCTTGGATTCTTTATCATACTGATTTAACTTGTCTGATCTATTCAGTGTGACTTACTTTGTTTGATTCCTTATCATACTGATTTAACTTGTTTGATCTATTCAATGTGACTTACTTTGTTTGATTCCTTATCATACTGATTTAACTTGTTTGATCTATTCAATGTGACTTACTTTGTTTGGATTCCTTATCATACTGATTTAACTTGTTTGATCTATTCAGTGTGACTTACTTTGTTTGATTCCTTATCATACTGATTTAACTTGTCTGATCTATTCAATGTGACTTACTTTGCTTGGATTCTTTATCATACTGATTTAACTTGTCTGATCTACTCAGTGTGACAATACTTTGCTTGGATTCTTTATCATACTGATTTAGCTTGTCTGATCTATTCAGTGTGACTTACTTTGTTTGAATTCCTTATCATACTGATTTAACTTGTCTGATCTATTCAGTGTGACTTACTTTGCTTGGATTCTTTATCATACTGATTTAACTTGTCTGATCTACTCAGTGTGACAATACTTTGCTTGGATTCTTTATCATACTGATTTAACTTGTCTGATCTATTCAGTGTGACTTACTTTGCTTGGATTCCTTATCATACTGATTTAACTTGTCTGATCTATTCAGTGTGAATTACTTTGCTTGGATTCCTTATCATACTGATTTAACTTGTCTGATCTATTCAATGTGACTTACTTTGCTTGGATTCTTTATCATACTGATTTAACTTGTCTGATCTATTCAGTGTGACTTACTTTGTTTGGATTCCTTCTCATACTGATTTAACTTGTCTGATCTATTCAGTGTGACTTACTTTGTTTGGATTCATTATCTTCCTGATTTAACTTGTCTGATCTATTCAGTGTGACTTACTTTGTTTGGATTCCTTATCATACTGATTTAGCTTGTCTGATCTATTCAGTGTGACTTGCTTTGCTTGGATTCTTGATCATACTGATTTAACTTGTCTGATCTATTCAGTGTGACTTACTTAGCTTGGATTCCTTATCATACTGATTTAAGGAGGCCGACTATAGTTTTATTGTGTGAAAACTACAATAGCGAAACTCTTCATTTTTATACCATATATAACTTACATTAACTTCAGTGTACATGTAAAGTGTGGGAGAAATCTACCGTCCAGGTATTTTTGAGGGACCGTCTCAAAATACAGGTACATTTACTATAGGATTATATAGGAAAATGCCAATTTTTAGCACTTTAAAGCAAATTATACAAATACTACAATAGACATTTTGTTCAAACTATAATATTTGATGAGTAATACTGTATTATACAATATATGTAAGAAACACAAAATTCTACCGTCTTGTTACCAAAGGGGGCATCTCAAAATGCAAAAAAATAGCGAAGTTTACTATTTTTTATAGAGTATTACAAAATATGACGTACGCAATGGATTCACATGAAAACATAATAAAAATATTGGAGATATTCTCAAATTTTTATGTTTTAAATTTCAAGAGCGTAAGTTTATTACTTTTCCTTTAATAATTTTTTTATTACTCCTTTCTTTAAGAGCTACAGATTATCATAACGTCAAAAACACACTGTAACGACGTCAACCTACCTATCAATTGCAAAATAGGTTAAAAAATCAGTTATATCAAATTGTAATTACATTTTTATACCTTAATTTCTTAATTTTGTTTAATTTTAATAATTAAGCGAAAAAAGTTGCATTAAAACAGTAAATACGTTTCATTTTACTATGATGCGCGAAATATTGCGCAATGGAAACTATAGTCGGCCCCCTTAACTTGTCTGATCTATTCAGTGTGATTTACTTTGCTTGGATTCCTTATCATACTGATTTAACTTGTCTGATCTATTCAGTGTGACTTACTTTGCTTGGATTCCTTATCATACTGATTTAACTTGTCTGATCTATTCAGTGTGACTTACTTTGTTTGGATTCTTTATCATACTGATTTAACTTGTCTGATCTATTCAGTATGACTTACTTTGCTTGGATTCCTTATCATACTGATTTAACTTGTCTGATCTATTCAGTGTGACTTACTTTGTTTGGATTCCTTGTCATACTGATTTAACTTGTCTGATCTATTCAGTGTGACTTACTTTGTTTGGATTCCTTATCATACTGATTTAACTTGTCTGATCTATTCAGTATGACTTACTTTGCTTGGATTCCTTATCATACTGATTTAACTTGTCTGATCTATTCAGTGTGACTTACTTTGCTTGGATTCTTTATCATACTGATTTAACTTGTCTGTTCTATTCAGTGTGACCTTGTTTGTTTGGATTCCTTATCATACTGATTTAACTTGTCTGATCTATTCAGTGTGACCTACTTTGCTTGGATTCTTTATCATACTGATTTAACTTGTCTGATCTACTCTGTGTGACTTACTTTGTTTGAATTCCTTGTCATACTGATTTAACTTGTCTGATCTACTCTGTGTGACTTACTTTGCTTGGATTCCTTATCATACTGATTTAACTTGTCTGATCTATTCAGTGTGACCTACTTTGCTTGGATTCCTTATCATACTGATTTAACTTGTCTGATCTATTCAGTGTGACTTACTTTGCTTGGATTCCTTGTCATACTGATTTAACTTGTCTGATCTATTCAGTGTGACTTACTTTGCTTGGATTCTTTATCATACTGATTTAACTTGTCTGTTCTATTCAGTGTGACCTTGTTTGTTTGGATTCCTTATCATACTGATTTAACTTGCCTGATCTATTCAGTGTGACCTACTTTGCTTGGATTCTTTATCATACTGATTTAACTTGTCTGATCTACTCTGTGTGACTTACTTTGTTTGAATTCCTTGTCATACTGATTTAACTTGTCTGATCTACTCTGTGTGACTTACTTTGTTTGAATTCCTTGTCATACTGATTTAACTTGTCTGATCTACTCTGTGTGACTTACTTTGCTTGGATTCCTTATCATACTGATTTAACTTGTCTGATCTATTCAGTGTGACCTACTTTGCTTGGATTCCTTATCATACTGATTTAACTTGTCTGATCTATTCAGTGTGACTTACTTTGCTTGGATTCCTTGTCATACTGATTTAACTTGTCCAGTCCTATCTGTACACTCTCCTCTGCCTCGTCAGACTTGACAGATTTTTTCTTTGTCTCCCCAATCCTCCGGCCTCCTTTTATACTTCTGATCACTTCTTGGTAGTCTTTACCTTTTATGTACAGTTCATACGGGTAAATGTTCCTACAATTTTTATAGTTCACTTGAAAAAATATCTTCATTTAGTTGATGACTGATCCTTTCTAACACCTGAAAAGTCTTTTTCTTTCTTCAAAACAACAGGTAGACTTTAAATTGCACAGGGATAATATGATATTCAGCTAGCTCTGCAATGTTGGTTTTTTAAGTTATCTGACTAGACACTTATTTTTGGTAGTACAGCTTGGCTCTTAGAGCCATAGAGCCTCTATAGCCAGACTGCCCTCCATGTGTATAGAACTCACAGTTATCACTATAGACACTTACTTTTGGTAGAACAACTTGGCTCTAGAGTGAGTGAGTATAACCACACTGCCCTTTATCTGTACAAGTTATCACTATAGACACTTACTTTTGGTAGAACAACTTGGCTCTAGAGTGAGTGAGTATAACCACACTGCCCTTTATCTGTACAAGTTATCACTATAGACACTTACTTTTGGTAGAACAACTTGGCTCTATAACCACACTGCCCTTTGGCTGAGGAATCAGTCATCTCTCTGTATACTGCTGACCACAGCATATTAGCACAAACCTAGGGAAAAAAGAAATGCTTTAAGAAATAGATTCTGTTAATTTAAATAATTATGTTCTAGATTCAAAAGTCAATCACATGTAAATAGCTCCATTATAATGAGCACATCATTGCTCATTCTCCTAAATAAATGTACCCTAAAATTAATTTAATTTATCCTTCTATGAAATTTCTATCTATTAAAAGTGTTATATATATTGAGTTTACTTTTAAACCAAACATTTCTGTGGAAAAAATACCATCCTGATGCAAATTATGACTTTCAGAATTGTTAATGATCTACTTTTAAGCATTGCTGAATATATTATAATATGAACTTAATTATGAACACTGGTCTTCGATACCTTGGTTGTTCCAAAGTGATGTTGAAGTCTCAATGCCTCATTCTTCAAGCATCTTGAATTGTAGGATAACTCAAGTTTTTCCTTTGTCCTACTGAGTTTGAGATAATAAGATTTGACTGTAGATATGGGCTCTCTATTTTACTTCTCACCTTTTCATATCCCCCTCTTTCGTGTACTGCCATGAAGAGTTGGAACAGACCCACAGGGGTGTTGCTCCAAATCACTTTCCTCTTAATTGTCAGGTCATGCCTCATCATAAAACTATGTAGATCATGCTCAAATGCTTTCTCATTTCTCTTATATTGCTGAAATAGGAAAATGCAAGATTTACAACAGATTTACCGATTTATTTTACAAAAATACATGGGATTTTCTAAAATTCTGAAATATATAGACAAAAGATACAAAAATGTGTAAAATACACATATTTATACATTTCAATTCCAGAAGTAATTCAAAATTCGTTCATAACTTATAACTGATATAATATTTCATACTAGAGGTCAAATTAAGTTATGATATTTTTTAAAAAAAATTTAAAGAACATGGTGTATATCTTATTTTAAATTAGCTCAGCTAAAATAGATTTTCTACCTAGTATAAACATCAATAGTAAATTTGACAGATTCTGTACCTGAACATTAATAGTAAATCTCTCTTCTTTACTTTGATTTAACATTGAACTTTTCATCTCCAGGTCATCAAAGTTAAAGACACTCTCTACAAAGACAGATACAAGCACAGCAAAATGTGTAATATAGATATATACCACTGATCCCAAATAAATTGTCCAGAATGTAAACAATATTTGCTAGTTTGAAGTTTAAGCAATTGATTTTAATGACGACTTAAACATATTAAACTTTAGATCTGAATAAGCCAGATTCTGGATTACTGTAAACCAACTTTTATTCGCATGCGAGAAATTTTCGCGAAGTTCGCGACAGCCTCTTCATCGTGAATATTTCTCGCAGCGAACCAGTCCTTAAGGTCTCTTTGTCTATTAACAACAGATAAAAAAGGCTTGATCGCGAAAATTAATCGTCGTGAACTAGTTTAACTTCGGTAAATCGCGAAATAAAGTCGTCAGGAATAAAAGTTGGTTTACAGTATACAACATCCAGGTTAAACAAGTTTCACTGTAATTTCAATGAAGATTGATATATTTATAATTAAGGTTTAAGGTTATAAAAAATATGTAATTTGTAAGTATATATGGTAATTTGAGCCAAAATCTAAATTCTTCTGATCATCTTTGTTAAGTGTGGAAGCAGGTGAACATTTAATTGATGCTACTTATTTATACTGATCACCGTTTGTCAAATTCAGGGATTTATCTAGCTATTTTGTTTTACTACCATTTTATATATGAAGGGGAAAAATGAGAGCCGCAAGCTCGATCTGAGCGCTTGAGGCGTGAGTGTGCTAAGGGGGTCCGGGGGTATGCCCCCCCCCCCTGGAAAATTTTTAAATAAGTGGAGTAAAATCCTGGCAATTCCAATAGAAATCTTTGGATCAGACTTCTATGGTCATGCTTGGAATTGGGTTCACGTCAAGACAAATAGAAAAAAATATTCAATCTAAAATTGAAAAAAGAAAGTTTGAAAATATTTTGAAATTAGAAAAAAATACTTACCGGTATAAAGTTCAAAAATGTCTAAAGATACTCACTACAACTTGGTGATAGAATAGTATTTACATCTGTTCTCAATGGCAATGGAAAATGGGTGATTGGTTTAACTGAATTGGAGTTTTCTCTTTCGACTTCTGTGAAAATTACAAAGAGAGTTATGATTCTTTTAAATTTGGAAGTACAGTGTAAGAAAGAATTGAGTAAAATGATAAAAGTTTGTAAAACTTATCTTTTCTCTAATTTCATAACATCACAATTTTGTTTTTTTTCATTTGGATTTAATTACCTCTTTTCAACCATGGATCCTTTGAATCTTCTCCTCTTGATTCCTTGTCATAACTCTGGCTCTGAGAAAGATCTTTAAGTCTCTTGTGTTGTCTCTCTGAGGTTGGCTTGTGTTTCCCTTTAAAGATATCTCTCTTTGTTTGCTCACTCTCACAATGACAAGTCTGTTTCTTCAACCCGAGTGCAGATTTACTCTTTTCATCTTCAGCTGGAATCAAAACATTGCTTTCCTGGAGAGTCTGGTTGAGACTCTTTGGACAGACAAATCAGAGACGTATTGATCCAAACCTTGTTTAAACCTTAAATGCACAGCTCTGCTTTTTTGTTGCAAACCTAGGGTTTTATTACTTGTATTATAGCTTTATATCCCATACAGCATTGGTATCTGTTAATTTTACTCCTAATCTTGTTAAATCATTTACCTTCAAATGGTTCCAAACAACCCTATATGTGAGCTGCCTTAGAATCTCAATATAAAAATCTCATCTACTGGAATGGTATCCAAAAAGCACTAAGTTTAGTTAATGTAGATGACTATTACATGTATAGGTGAAACTAGAAAATTGCAAATGCATGAATGTGTCTTTTTAAAAAAAAAAGTAAATGTCTATTTGTTAAGAAAACCAATGACTCTTAGAAGTACCAACACCAATAGCTTAACTGAATTAAGGCAAATACACGTGCCCCTTCTATCATAAAATAAAAAAGTAAAACATAAATGTTGATAAGCACTAACCCTGGATGAAAACTGGAGAAAACAGTTGAAGTCACTTGAAAAATCTAAATAATAGTCCCAATGTTTTAGACTCTTACCATCATCTGATTGATTCTTCCTAATCCTTTGTTTCTGATTATTTCCCTTGAATTTGCATGCATTGTTAATCCTCTCCTGTGAGGTGAGGGGAATTAATAGATCTGCCTCCTGTATGGCCTCCATTACAGAGCTCTTTCTGTAGTTCTCCAGCTTGGAGCATTTTATCTGCATAGCCAGCCTCAGTCTCTTTTTTCTCTTTTTCTTGGTTTTTCTCAAATTCTTAAAAGAATAAAAGTCTCTTGCCTGCAATTGTAACTTGATGTGTATGCAAATATTTTTTTTTATAATTGTAACTCTGAATTTAAACATCCTGTCATGTATTTATGATGTTAAGAAAAATTTTTTATGAGCTTTTTGGTAAACAAATCAAAATGATTGATAGTTTTATGTCTCTTGTGAGAATTTCTCTGAAGAAAGATGAACTAATTGCAATCCAGATTTTCCTTTATAAACAAATTCTAAAGTTGAATATATTTAGTTTGAAGCATAAATTTTGTGCAAAGTAAATGATAATCCAATCTAACAAAGTTTAGAGCCTATGTTAATCTCTCTCTATCTCTCTCTCTCTCTCTCTCTAACCTTGACTTGACTGGTTCCCTGTTCCTGTTGGATTTCTTCCTTATGACCATACAGTGTGACTTTGTTTGCTGGTATCCAGGCATGACAGTGAACTCCTCCCAGGTACTCTACGTGATATCTGAAGGGGTCCCCATCCCTGTCCACTTCATAATGAAAGTCATACTCAGGATCATTTGTTATAATAGCAGGCCACCTTAAAAAAGAAGGTTAAATCTATACTTCATGGTGAAAGTTAGTTCCAGGATCATTTGTAATTGTTTTTTTTTTTTGGGGGGGGGGGATTCTTAACTAGAGAAGAGAATTGTTTTGATAGGAAGGTGACATCGTTTTCCATGAAAATTCAACATCAATGCTGAATTTTAAAATTAATGTATTTTCCAGACTGCAAAAAATAAATGCTAATTTCTCGAGATTAAGAAAGTTTTGAGTTGGGCCATTTTTAGCCAGTCAGTCAGGAGAGGGTAATCACATTTACCAAACAATTTTTAAAAGATGGCCTTAGATTATTGATGAAAATACTGGAGATCTATTTTTAAAGTCTCTATTCAGCTGTACTGACCTAGAGAAAAAAATTATTTTGTTAAAACCACTGTCTATATAACATCATAAACTTACATGTAGTTTACAGTTAGAATTAAACTTTGCTCATAGTCTAACCACAAATCTGGAAAATTCTTGTCTAAAGATTAATTAAGGTGCATTATAAAAATTGTTAAATTGGATGTCTGAATCTCTGCATCAATTGTTGCTCAAGACCTGCATGCATTGACAACATAGTCTTGTATCAGACCCACATTTGAGCTGGCCTAATCTAAATTAGGCCAAGCTTAAAGAATTTTTCGTTTGCGATTGCCGACCTATCATTTTTAGACTGTGAAGGTAGGTAGGCATTCCATTTTTTTTAAATTCAGAATTTTGTTAGAATACACAATTTAATACAGCTTTAAATATAAATGTTATATATACCTACAGTATCCTGATGTCTTGGCCCAGACCAGAGTGCCAACTGACAAGCAGGACATGACATACTTAAAGCCTAACTTCTTAGCCAGTCTGTCATAGGCTGTGTAATCTTCTTCTGCAGCTTCACAGCTAAAAAGATCAAGATCGTTATTTCATTTTGGTAAGGGAAAAGCTATAATGCACTTTCAGAAAAGTATGGAAACATGGTCTAGGAACATAAAGAGAGTCTATCAACACTTCAGAAACTTGCATCATTTCAGACACATATGGATTTTCTCTACAATTAACAGATTTAGGTGATCAGGACAAAAGCTCTCTGTGAACTTGCTGCTTGTTACAGGAATGTGCCAAAAACCATAAGGAAATTGTTTGCTGCAATGCCTGTTAGTTAGCAGCAACAAGCATAGAGCAAGGTTTCCATATTTGGATAATCCAGCTAGTGTTTCCAGCAAACTTCATTTGTATGGGAAAATGTTTGCTGCAAGCTTGCTGGTACTTGCCACAAATTTGCTGCAAACACCAAGGCTTTGTATAGACTGTCATGCTTTCTTTTATAGCTACATTGCCGATACCATAGTCGGTCTATGCACATATGACCTAAAGAAAACTGCTGGTGCATGCTGGTCAAAACTGGCTTAATTTGGTTGTGACCGAGTCAAAAATTGGTTAAATGTCAGAGTACCGCATAACAAATGATTAAATTGTCCCATCTGGTGAAAAAAAAACCCAGGGCTGTCACAGCACCTTTTGGGACAGGGACCGGGTCCCTCTATATTGGGAAAAATCCTCGACATTTTTGTCAAATTGGGAAAATTTTAAACATACTTTCATGTATTAAATAAACACACACACCCCCCCCCTAAGAAAAGAATTTAATCATGAAAGCCATTTATCTCTTTGAAAAGTAAACTTGAAAAATTAAAATTTACAGGACATAAGGTCTGATAAAATCTATATTTAACAGACCAAACATTCACTTACTTAGCAGGCTTTTTTTCCATATGATACAGAGAACTAAAAAATGTGGGGAGGGGGTACTTCTTACAGTTTAATAGCATTTGAAATAAATTTTAAAAAAATTGATTATAAAGAATAATTTATTGAAATTATCAAGTTACTATTAAAAATTTTCCTTTAAAATGTAATATCATAAAATTGCCTAGATCTACAATTTATTTCTTTTTTCTACCAATTCTGGTCATTTAACACATGCAAATAAAACAGATAGTATCCAAGATTTTATTTTAACTTATAATTCACTTTAAAATTGTTTATTTATTTTATGAACTAGCTCATAATGGTAATCCTTGTTTAATAATGAAAATAAGTTCCCCAACCCAATCTACGTATGACCTATCCATAGATCTCTATTCCATGACAGAGGAAATTCGAATTAGAAATAAACGATCATGATAGGGTTGTTGCAGATTAAAATCAATCATGCATTACTGCTAAATGGATCAAATAAAGGATGTATGTGTGGAAAATTAGTTGATATAAATGAGAAAACGCGTCTTTGGGAATTTTTAAGTCTGAAATTGGGAAAATCTAGCACTTTGTGCCATTGGGAATGGGTCCGATATTCGGTCCTAATTTGAGGGCAGTGACGGCCCTGAAACCACATAAATAGTGCCATATGATTACATAAAAGTTGTTGTTTCTTACAGTATGCTTTGGTAATTCTCTGAGGACTTTGTTGAATTGTTCCCAATGCAAAACATATGTACTCTTAAATCCAAAGTGGATTAGCAAAGGGGGATCTATGAGTGATTATATGTCTATATAGTTCTGTCATTGATAATAAAATAGAGATCATGTCACTATTACATGCAGGCAAATTGAATTGCAATAAACATGGTGTCATGGCCAATAAAATTTACAACTCTTGCAAAACCAGGGCAAACTCTAAAGAGAAAAATTGAAGCAGACAAGACTTAACGAAGAAGAGAGATCAGGGGGTGCTGAAGAGTGACACGTACAGACTTGATCTGATTTAGATAAAAATGAAAATGAAAGATTGGTAACCATGGTGAAAGAGGTTGCGAGAGAGCTGGAAAGTGCATGAGTATGAAAATGTAGAAAGATGTTACAATTGAATACACTTATAAAATTTGCGGCCGATGATATATACACGACCGTCGTGCACACTATATGGAAAATCTATTTACACGACCGTCGTGCAAATAGCTATTGCAAAGTAATGAGATATATACACGACCGTCGTGCATAGATATTAAGTAAAATCTATTTACACGACCGTCTTGCATATAGCAATTGCACATTACCCGAGATATGTACACGACCGCATTTATCGTCGTGTACCCTAAATTCGTCCCCAAACTTCTCGGGACCAGCACGTTTCGAACTTCGTATCGAAGACGTCATTATTAATTGTTTTGACTAGTGAACCCAATTATGCAACTTTTTCAGCAATTATTTTTCAGAATTAGCAGTTTAGTATTAAACTTTAAGTTAAATAAAATAAAAATACTTAAAATATCTGATTATTCCTTATGTCCATTTTTATTGAAAGTGTACAGCTAGTTTACTTACGTTCCCCAAAATTACTTCCAGATCTAATATACCTTCATTTTATTATTTTATACCCGTCAGTGTATTGAATTACGTGCATGGGCTACAAATTAAAACAATTTATAAATACTGTGCTTCTTATTTTCCCTTTTCTTGTGTGTCTGTTTTGTTTTAATACGTTTCATTTAATCGAGATTTTTTCAAGAATATGTTATGGAGACGGAAAATAAATAAAATCAAATATATTATATCAAAAATATTTCCCATACAGAAGAATTTATTATACCACCCCTTTCAATAAAAAATCAATCTGTCAACATAACCAAGCATTGATGATCACATTGTGTGAATAGATCTACTTTTGACCTTGCCAAGTCGCCAGATCTTTCCTGCAAATTCTTTTATTTCTCATTTTATATAGTATATGAAAAGTTTATATAGTATATGAAAAGTCTTTTTTTCCTGTAATCATGGTAATGATTAATAATAATTATGTGATCAATTCAAGTCTACGCATTAAATTATAATAGTTTTAATTTCCTATGTTTTTTTTTCAGATTGTGCCCGACTTGCACTGCTCAAATATTTTGATATTCTATCGGTTTTTGCCAGTAAGGTCAATGAATTTTGGAAAATCTTAAATAAAACATTGTATAATTCACATATCAGGTAATTTGATGAGCATACAATAAAAAGACATCGTTGAAAGCACGTTCGTGTTTTTTTTTAATTTCGTAATAAAGAAAACGGAGTCGGTATAATCGAAAGCAATTTATGTTCTTTATATAATGAAGAGAGGAAACTTTCCACTTCCTTTACGGTTCTCACAAAAAATCACATTCTTTCCACAAATCAAAATTAAGTATACGTATAAAATAGTTATCCACGTGCAGATATAATTACGTTTATTTAGCGTCTAATTCACGCAGTTTTGTAATTAAGGTGCTATACTATAACTTGGAGATTCTACCTGTGAAGTCAAAGAGAATTATTAATAATTTTTTTTTTGTTTTCTTTTTAAAGTAACATAAGTTCATAAAAAAAAAACAGGTTTGACAATTATTTTTTTTAATAATTTAAATTTTAGTGCCTTTTGAAAATATATTGAGGTCATTTTTTTTATACAATAATATAAAGAGAGATTCTCGATTTTATTTCCTAATATAGAGAGAAATTTTCATTTTATTTAGGTTGTGCATCATTTGTTCTCAATACTTCCCCAATTATACAAGATATCGGCACCACTGGCACTGATATGTTTGAATTAAATCAGTGCGTCAGGTCATTTGTTCATGTTGTTTATTCCACAGAATCCATATCCTTAATTGATTGAAACAAATGGTTTAATTAATACAACAAGGTTCAAAATTCAATAAGAAGTAAATGATTTCTGTCAACAAGTGACAATTACTACATACATCGGATACGTGTAACCAAGTAATTGGTCGTACATGCGAACCGTCTTAATTGGGACGAAACGTCTCAGTGCGAATGGTCTGTGGGGACGAACCGTCTCGCACTCTAACAAGGAAAGATAAATACAGTGCATGTTTTATGTTTTTCACGACGGTCGTGTAAATAGTCATTGAAATTATATACACGACGGTCGTGCGAATAGTCATTGAAATTATATACACGACGGTCGTGCGAATAGTCTTTGAAATTATATACACGACGGTCGTGTATATAGACACTGCCAAAATTTGCAGTTTGTGTTTTTTTAATTTGCAGTTTTAAAATAAATATTTCAATTGTTAACATATTTCTTACAGGCTTAGTTATTAATTTCATTCAGACATGTAGGCAAAGTTTATTGACAAGATGTACGTCAGAATGACAGACTTTAATTTGGAGAAAAACTTCCACAGCTCTGGACCTAGCTCACGTACATGTACCTGTTGTATTCTGGGTCAAAGTTCAGATGACAGTGGCACTAGTACTATGGATAGTTTTCAATAGGCCTGAATTTAGCGAAAGTTACCTCCACTGGGTCGCCAAATTGGAGGTTGACTCGGTGATTTTCCCTCTTTGTCTTATCAAGTTTAAGAGGTTGTAGCAGAAATATTTGATGGAAAATCTTTCAAAAATATTAATTTTTTTAAATAAAGGAGGCTTCCAAAAAATTATATACTTCAGAAAAATAATGATTTCTAATTCAAAATAGCAAATATAAAATTTTAAAATTGGCTGAACAATGAAGGAATATGAGCATTTGGACCTCCAGTTTGGCGGCCAACAGAAAATACTAAGCTCTCGCTAAATTCCGGCCTATCAAAAACTCTCTATTGTAATGGTTTGGGCTGTGGATAAATCAGCCTGGATATTCAGTTGGTAGAGCACCTGACTAGAGATGCAGGGGTCCAGGGTTCGATTCAGGGTCCAACCATACATTTTCTCTTTTCCTGTTCCAGATTTGGTGTCATTGACCACCCCTGGAATTGCAGGTGAAAGTCCTGCCAGGGGGTAATAAGAACTTGGGTTGTGTCTTCGAGGGGGAAGACCATGCATATAAGAAGGGAGGAATGTAATGGTTTGGGCGGTGAATATCAGCCTGGATAGCTCAGTTGGTAAGAGCACCTGACTAGAGATGTAGGGCTCCAGGGGTCGATTCCCGGTCCAGCCATACATTTTCTCCTTCCTCTTACACTATTAACCTATGACCTCACCTGTTGTACTCTGGGTCAGAGTTCATATGACAGAACCACTCTATATCTTCTAAGCTTTCTCCCTCCATTGAAGGAATTTTTCTCCACTTCTGGCAGTTTACATTGTCACACTGAATCCAAGTGAAGTTTTTCACCTATATAATAGAGAAAATTTGAGAAATTCATTGTGATAAATCCGTTAAATTTTCATTTTATTGCTTTCAGATTTTATTTTACATAGTAAAGATACCTGGCGTATTCTTTCCAACATATCAATTTCCTGTAAAGCAGTCCGCTGTGATGCCGGGGAAGAGGAAAATGGTGTGTTCATCTTTCTAAACACGTTCTGATTTGCAGATACGATACAACTCTGAATTCTAAAATATCATAAATTGTGATAAAGTTCTTTCACTGGGTCTATACAATACCAAATATATATATATTATATATACAAAAATACACCAGCTTTACCGTCATTTGGTGAAAAAACTTTCTTGGGAAAGCAGACGCTTTTCTTCATCAGTTACTCTCAAAAGCAAATTAAAAATTTTGTAACCTTCATATCTTATTTAAAAACAGTAAAGAATGTATGTTATTTATTTTTCTAATCATTTGATGATAATTATTCACTCAAAGCAGGAAGAACAGTTCTTACTTCTCCAAAAATAAATTATGTAATTTTTGTTTGGAGATTACATTACAAAAAAAAAGTGAGGATCGACAGTGCGTTTGTAAAGAAAGGAGAAGAAAGTGATTGCTTCAAAGCGCCCAACTGATTAAACAAACAATCGCCATTATCTTGATTTTCAGCAGGTGGTTGTTTTGATTTAGTTGACATCGTTTTACCTGTGCCAAGAACAAGTGTGTCACGCACGT